AAATTGTTTCAGTGGAGGTAACTGATGAGGTAGATGGAAAGACAAAAAATTATTGAGGCATTTTTGAGCAGCAGTTTAGATTTGTTCCAACTTCGGTAAAGTAGAATAGATGGAATGTGTTACAGAATTAAATCATGGAGAAATTAGTGCTGGTTTTTGTCTACATTAAGGCCCCTTTGTATTGCTGTGTTAATTTAGAGGCGCCTTAATATGGGTGTCATTAGCATCCATAAATATTGTTTAATCTGCCCAACTGGGGTAAAAGTACTGTAACATAAATGAAAATTAGGTTTAGGAGGCCAGAATACTAATGTGTGTGTGTGTGTGTCTGCAAAAATGTATGAACTCTCCTCTATGTTCACAAATAAACTGAATTCATTTCTTTCCTTCCATCACAAACTTGTTTCACTGTGTCTTGTTTTACTAGTCACGGCTCTGGTAGTTGTGCACGGTATCTCAGCATCCTAATGCTTTCACCACTGTAATCAGCTCTAGCTTTTGTTTAGGTCTCTGTTAATCTTCACTTTACTGTTCACGACAAAACCCACAATGGCATCTCCTCACACCTTTCTGTCCAGACCTTCACTACGTCACATCTCAACTCAACAAGGTATTTTTGCAAATTCAGGCAGAGGAGTGGTCTCATGCGATTCCATGGACCTGCTCATGAATTTTGATTTAAGGTGTTAGGTAAGTATTTTTTTAGACTGAGACCTCAGTTATTTTCATCCAAACTTAACACTGAAGATCAGAAATAACATATTTTGTCAAGATCTTTTAAAGCTACAAAAAGAATCTTCACTGGAACACAGAAAAAAATCTGGGGTTTTTTTTTCAGATAAAAATGTTTCAGACAAAAAAAACATTTGTCCAGATCTTTGAACACACTTATATAGATTAAAAACTCCATGTCAGCTATTTTACAACAATGTCACTGATTATTATTAGCGGAGGAAGAGCAACAGGATGTACATATATGTCCATCCTGCTGGCCATACATATGATATATACATGTGATACAATATCACATGAAGGAAGAAATTCGTCACTGTGAGGGTGGTGAGGCACTGGAACAGGCTGCCCAGAGAGGTTGTGGATGCCCCATCCCTGGAAGTGTTTAAGACCAGGTTGGATGGGGCTTTGGGCAACGTGGTCTAGTGGAGGGTGTCCCTGCCCATGGCAGGGGGGTTGGAACTAGATGGTCTTTTAAAGGTTGCTTCCAACCCAAACCATTCTATGACATATCTATGATATATCTATCTATATCTCATATATATATATGATAAGAAGCAGTTATTGGCCCAATAGTTAATTAGCACAGCAATCTGCCATGTTAATAATTCTTTTCATTACTAGTCTCACAACAGCACAATGCTTCACATCAAAATGTGGAGAACTAACGTATATATTTTCATTATAAGCATGATTTGTGTGCACTTTTCACCTACTTTCTCGTCATTTTTAGCTACTGCGACTGCAGAAATAGAGCTGTTTCCTAGTACAGCATTTCTGTGAGGATGTAGTATTGGCATTTCTGTGAGGATGCCACTAGTAAGTGCTGTACAGTTAATGCTCACTTAAACCCTTGCCATCGGAGGTTTACTGTCAGCGAAAGTTAAAGGTGATGTGGAAGCATGAGGGAATTCTTAATGTCTCAGGTAACAATAGATTTAACACAGTCATCAATGGTGAAAGTGGTGATTTTTGCAATTTTTTAATAGGTTTTTTAAAAAAATCAGTTTCTATAAAGGACTAATGATTATGACCTTAATCATTAAAAAGAAGTAATCCAGATTTAGATCAGATTTATGACCTACCAAAACACGTTAGCATGTGCTTAACTTTACACATGAATAGTACCACTGGATTCAAGGAAGATGTTAAGTTTTTCTGGTATAAATCTTTTTTCTTCCAGAACAGATTTCACATCACAGGGATTTCTAACATGAAATTATGTAAAACTAATTTGTTTTCAGCATTTCACATAAACAGTGTATGTGTTCACATAGCCTTATCTCCTAAACCAGCTAAAACTCAAGGATCAAACTTGATGACATTACTGAAATTTTGAGGTTTAAGTGTGTAATTATGTACATTAATGAGTTAATATCTGTTACAAAAAAAGTTCAGACTAGTCACAACAGCTGTGTATCAGACAAAGTAAAACAGCTTAATTTTTAAATTTCAAAATATAATGATGAGAATATCTGTAATTTGAGATACAGCAATGTTTCTGAGTTTAAAGAACTAATGTCAAATTATTTGATAATTTCGCTTAGTATGACATGAAGCCAGTTCAAGGGTGATAAGCAGGTCACTCCCTCTCGGTTCCAGGACATACAACTTAAAAGCAACAGTGTCACATCTCTCTTCCATCCTCTAGAGTGCAAACAAGAATATGACTTTCTCTTCACGATCCCTGACAACTGATGTTTATTGCTTGGCATTAGTATATTTTACTAATGATTGTATTTTGGCAGCAGTTTATTTCTACTACTTTATCTTCAGAAATCTGCCTCCCTCCTTTTGGCAGAACTGCGAGGGAATACAAGTGGGCCATCTCACAGATAACAGCCTGGATTCCACTTCTCTTTGCTTCAGAAGATGTATGCATCCCTGAAAGTTAGATTAATAGCTGCTTCTAAACATATTGCTGCCAGGGACTCGGTTATGGTGGTTTCAAACAGAATTTGTGATGCAACTACATTTCTCGCTTGTGCACTTTTTGTTCTTGCTTTGCTTCAGGTGATTGTGATTTCTGTGTCAGGACAGACTGACACAGTCCAAGGACATGATCAAAATAATATAAGTGTATCTAAAAAGAAAAAAACAATGACGGCAAACAAACGGAAGGAAGGGGAAAAGAAAGGTAAGAGCACTTTCACCTTTATGGCCTTCTACTCCAATGAAAAAATTGTTAAACATTGTGCAGTTAATAGTCCGTGCCGATCAATATTTCTCATGTCCCAAACAATCAAATTTACAGTATGTATGCTCTTAATTGACATCAAAGGCAAAGTATGAATTGCCAGGATAAACCTCAGTGAAAAAGATTTAAATTAACACTTTTAAATCATCATTGCACTGGGCTGTGAGTACTCACCTGGGCTCACCTGGCTGATGGAAGTCTTTTAAGCCATAATAATTCCTGAATGTGGAAGAAAGACCTCCTAAGCCTGTATATATGCACAGATTGAATTATTTTCCAAAGTGAGAGTCATTTCAGCAGCTAGACATTTGACACCTACCAAAACCCAAAGGCCTTAAAGGGGCCCTAAATGCTGAAATGTTTTAGAAAACCCTGATTGTATAGCCACAATTTGAGATCAATCAATTACTTCTCTTAGTATTATGTCCATATTGAATGGTAAAGTTGGGATTATAAGTGATCATTTTTCTGTCCAATTTAGAGAAAGACTGAAAAATAAAAAGCTCTCTGGTGATTCAGCATTCTTGTATATTACAGATTTTTACTGTTCTTTTAGACTCTTACTATATAATTGCTATTTGGAGGTTGATTTATTTTTCACAATTACAACTCCCTCATGTAGAGCATTTTAGCTCCAAATAAGGCTTAAATTCCAACATTATCAGAACATCTGCTTTACATATTTTTCCTAAGTATTTTTTCTTTATATACAAGGTGTGTACATGTTATATCATTGCTGACAGAACATTTTATACTCTTATTCCCCTCCCCTTTCTGCTCTTAAGGCAAGAACAAATACTTACTGCATTTCTTTTCTCTCTTGCCTTACTGATATGGGTAACATAGACATTTCTAAGCAGTCCTGTAAATGAGATGACTTACATGAGAAACAATTATTCACATCTGTAAATGTTTTGCAGGTTCTAGCCCTTAATCTTTTTAATTAGAGACCATAAAGACTTGGGCTTGCTTTTGGTTCTGTAAAAAGCAGGA